TATACATAAATCTAAGTCATCAAAAACTATTAAATCATAATATAAGATTATTGAACTATTTAACATGATATATTTGACACTATAACTTTTATAGAAATTAAGGTAGTTATAATTAATTTGTATTGTCTGACTTATTCACTAATTAATATGATGAGAATACAAAGTACAAAGGCGTATAATAAGAAATAACTTTAACCACATATCTATTACTTTAAATGAACAATGAAAAAGTATTTTGAGAGTTCTAAATAAGGAAATTTGACAAAGTATAGAGGCATATTTGTCAATTTCAATAAAAATGGAAAAGTTTTTGGGATGACTAAGTAAGAAAAGTCGACAAATCTGTATGAGATCGGAGAGGTTTTTTGCGTGGAAAAGTGAAGAGTAATTTAAAGCACATCTCACTTTTGCAACGTTAGATTCTGAAGTGCCTATTTTAAGCAAAAACACGTCTATGAAAACAATACTTTTACTTTGTAAATAAAAAAAATTGTTTTATGATGATAATATAAGTTTACACAAATTAAAACCTCAACACTAAAAAGTAAATACCACAACTGTTAGCAATGGAAGTAGCATTTTCAATACAAATTTGAAGAACTGTATTTTGAATTGTTTTTGGACTGCATTTTGAATGGCATACTTAATTTGTGCCCAGTAATTCTAATTTTATTGTTTGGGCTTAGATTTGCACCACATCTTTATAGATGTATTATTTTATGAGTGTTTTCTGTTTTTTAAAATTTGGAAGTACACATTATGTACCAACGTAATAAAACACGATTTTTGATTTGTTTTGTTTTTATTTAATGAATGTACAAATATGTACCAACGTAATAAAACAAGATTTAAACAAGTTATCTTTCTACTCAAGATATATCCGTGCATCGCACAGGTACTTTGTCTCGTATCATAAAAAGCAACTTACATTTAAAGAGAGGCTAAATATCAAAACTATATTTATAAAAGGTTTACTCTTCACTCAATTAACTCATAATTAAAAGTAAGTTTTTCTTTTCATCTAAGTTGTTATCCCACACCAAAGATAGAGATGTTTTTAAACGCTTTATAAACCGCATCAAACACATTTTAATTGTTCAAGAAACTAAGTCAATTATGCAAGATTCGTTGTGGAGGTCTGGAGAACCATCTCATTCAAGAAAGATCTTTACACTTCTTATTTGCCTTACAAATCTACACCAAACAATGTCAAACAGTGTCAAACTCCTTAATATTTGTGAAGTCAAATGTAAAGATCTTGCAGTAATTATTAGGGCACATATCTCTATCCTTTGTAGCACCGTTCGAACATTGGATTTTTTTGGGAATTTGGGGGAAGAATGAGGTTTCGTTTGGTTTTGTAACACTCAAGAGTCAAGACACTGTAAATAAATGCTAATTCATTTGGTTCCGTTTTAGATCAGAGATATGTGACTGGCCGCCGATTCAGTCTCAGTGCTGAGTAGGAAGGAATAGAATGGGTCTCCTGTCGCAGAGAGTCGAGAGAAGTGAAATAGCAGCCGGCGACCATATTTACACTTGGAGATCCGCCTTTGCTTATGCTCATCATGGTTTCTACTCTCTCTCCACCTCCATTATTACATTCTTTCCAGTAATGTATTCGCATTTACCCACATAAACTATTGATCAGCCCTAAATTTTGCTTAATATAAAACCTAAACTATTGGACTTTCATATGTGGATCTTTTGGGATTGAGTCACTATACATAATATGATTTCATGGTAGGAAATTAGTACAAACAACAGCAAAACATAGATGATATTCATAAACCTGCCCATCTCTGTTTTCTATAATTCTATTACACTTTGCAAATAGGATTCGTCCTTTACTCCTTGCTAAAGAAATGTAGTTAATAGTTCTTTTTCTATGATTGGGTAAGTAACATTGCTAGGATTAAATAAGGTTGGTAATGTTTGTAATTGTACAGCTACTTTATGTTTTTAGTTTTCTCATTTCATAATCTATTAAACCCAAACAGGCAATGTGAATCTATGTGATATGGGTAAACCTCAAATTATGAGTACATTTGTTTCAAGTTTGGTATGCTTGGCTCCACGGGGAGGCAATGGTTAGGTTTATTTGTTAATTGTAGCTGATATTGGATTTTCCTTGTCATCTTATCTTTTGTTCACAGTCATTGTGATTTACAACAACAACAACATCCAAGCCTTAGTCCCAAAAGATATTGGGGTCGTCTAACAAGAATCGATACATGATATCACCACCAAAAGGAAAAGAAAAAAAATAAAGATAAAAAAGATAAGCTATTATAAAAAGATAATATAAAAAGAGATGAATATATATAAAAATGATAAAGTAAAAAGGATACAAATAATGCTTATATATATAAGGATAAAAACAAGGAAAAAAAGATGAGTGGAAAAGATAATACGAGATCACTCCTCCACACGAATACCCGCTCTCCACTTAGCTCTCTCCAAAGTCATGCCCTCATCCAACCCCAGAAGAAGCATATCACTTCGAACTCCCCTAACCCACGTCTGTTTGGGTCTTCCTCTCCCTCTCTTCCCTGCCTCTTCTCCACACATCTCAACTCGTCTGACACGTGCATCACTCGGTCTTCTACGCACATGACCAAACCACCGTAGGCGCGACTCCCGCATCTTGTCTTCAATAGGTGCTACTCCCACCCTTTGTCTGATTGTCTCATTCCTCACGCGGTCCTTCCTAGTATGCCCAAACATCCAACGCAGCATGCGCATCTCTGCCACACTCATCTTTTGAATGTGACATTGTTGAAAAGGTAATTGATCTATACACATCTTGAAAAGGTAATTGATCTATACACATCTTGAAAAGGTAAAGCATTTATAATATTGAATAAATATAAAATTTTAAGGGTATGTTTGGGAGTTTGGTTTTGGAGGGGAGGGGATGGTTACGAGGGTTTATGACCCTCCCTTTCATGTTTGGAGTTAAAAAATATGGAGGGGATGGTTTTGGAGGGTTTTTGTAACCCTCCAAAATCCTTCAAATGCTCAATTTTCAAGTTCCCCCAAATTGGGGGATTTGAAGGATAACTAATTAAATGACCTTCCCTTTCATGTTTGGAGTTAAAAAATATGGAGGGGATGGTTTTGGAGGGTTTTTGTAACCCTCCAAAATCCTTCAAATGCTCAATTTTCAAGTTCCCCCAAATTGGGGGATGTGAAGGATAACTAATTAAATGACAACTTTAGCTCAATTTTAAATAAATATAAACTCAATTATTTGAATTCGTCATATATGTGAAGTGATATTAATTATAATTCATCCAAAACCTTTATCCTTTCAAACTTGATACTCCCAAACAAGAAGAACGGTTTTAAACCTTTTCCCTCTCCCCTTCCCTTCCAACGACTAACCTTCAAAACCTTCCTCTCCCCTTTCCTTCAAACTCCCAAACATACCCTAAATGATTAAGCTGTGAGACTACTCTCATTATTTCACTTTAGAAAAAAACAAGTGAAGATAATTTCTTCATGTGCTGTTGGATGGCTTGTCTAGGAATATATGTTGGTGGCAACAAAGTTGTACATTTTACAGCAAGTGGAGGAAGTATGGAAGCTGAGTCATCACTGTGCCCAAATAATATTCTTGACTGTGGATTCTGTAAGAGTGAAAGTGGAGTGCTTCTGTCTTGCTTGGACTGTTTCCTCAAAGAAGGGTCATTGTATGAATTTGAGTATGGCAGTGGTTGTCTGACTTTCCTCACAAAAGTCCGCGGAGGTACATGCACCACTGCGCAATCTGATCCTCCAGAAAGTGTGATCCACAGGGCCATGTATTTACTTCAGAATGGATTTGGAAAGTATGACCTCTTTCATAGAAACTGTGAAGATTTTGCATTGTACTGTAAAACAGGCCTCGTCATCGTTCATCAACAAACAAACCATGCTATGGGAAGTTCAGGAACAACTGGTCAAGTGGCTAGCGCTCTCCTAGGGGGTGCTTTGGTTGGGGTTGTTGGAAGTTTATTCAACACAACTACCCCGGTAGGCTTGGGTTTGGGAACAGGCACTTATTTAGTCAACAGGTACGGAAATGACATTGGTGTTAGGAAAGATGTGGTCAAGGTGGATGTTGAGGATATTTTTTTGTTCCATCGCTGTCAGGTGAGTGTTGAAGATATTTGTCCCACGGATGTGAATGACCCAAAAAAGGGAACTTCAAAGGGAAGTTCTTTTGATTGATTTACTTATATAGTATTTTGAAAGGAAAAAACAAACTTTTATTGGGATATTAGTATGTGCGCAACTTTGGAAACTTTTAGGGTGTTCTTAAGAAACCCTTATCATAACTGTTTTTCGTTTAAGTAGACATTAACTGCATATCCGAAATCGAACCAAATGGATGAATTTGAGAGTGATTGTTGTAACTAGAACTATGCGGATGACCCCAATGAGCAACCTTGTGTTTGTGGCTTTTTGTGCAAAAGAACAGTGAACAAAATGATGTTGGTCTTGTTGAATGGTTCCAGTGTTCTAATTGAGGCTGGACGCAGCCACGCAGGAGGCATATGGGAGTGAGGTCACTTGATTGAGGTTGAGCTGAATATTCGTTGCCTGCAGTTAGCTTATTATTAGTATTATTCTCTCAAAGTCGTCGTATATTATCTGCCCCTTATACATGAATCTGAATCAGTGAACATGTCAAAATATTACATAGTATCTCGGAAGATAATGGCTCCAACTATGGTCTCTTATCTTGCACTGCCTTGCTTATACACATAGATTTGGGCAAATTCTATTTCTTGGTGATTATAATGGGGTGTGATGTATATTGGATTGTTATTGGAAACGTAACAGATGTAGAATTTTGTTTTGTGAAGACCTCTCCTTCTTCAGCTGTATCCTTGGTTCTCTTTATATTGTTATCTCCTAGTGATAATGTTTGAATTGAATCTCAATACCCTTTTGAAATGGCACATACATGTGTTTTCCTAATCTTGCAGTCTATAGTGTTTAATTCCCTTCAC